ATGTGGGGATGTCTATATTCTGGACCTGAAAAGCCTAATGGCTTTGGAAATCCAATAAAAGAAATCTTTTGTTACGATTTTTAACCTTTAATTAAGCTAAAGTTAGGCTTAACTAAAATTTTTATTTATGCAAAAATATTTTCAAATTAAACCTACTCTGTGTGGTTAGTGCTAGTTATTTACATTTAAAAAAAATCCCAAAATGATTCAAATATAGAGCAATTTCTTTTTAAAGTGGGCATTAGAAAATGGGACTGACTTTGCAAAATAAGGTTTTCGAATCATTCTAGAAGTATGGGAAAGCTAACCTAGAAGTTATCTTGTGGACCACCTGCGTCATGTGGTAAAAGGTTTTTGCAACCATACAAAGCTGGATGTTGAGCATACAGCAGGATGAATTAATTCATGCTGCAGCCAAATCTTTGACATGAAGGATTGAGTCAAAATGGGGTCCTGGAGCTCCTATCCTGTAGGGACTTTTCATAACATCTATATTTGCTTCCATTCAGTTTGCCTTATTTCAGCCATAAACAAGCTCAGTTTTAAGCCAGGAGCCCCAAGCTGCAAACCAAGAGCTCCTCTAAAAGACGCTCTGCTCAGAGCTGGAAGATGTAGATTTGGGAGCAGTTTTCAAGGGGAGATTGTGGCCTCCCCTCCTAGGAGGCCCTGTGACTGGTGATTACAGCAGCTGTCCTCAGGCAGGCACTGCCAAATATATTGGATAGATGCTGTTCCCAGGTTTTCCGGAACCATGTGAAGCAAAGTTGGGGGACCAAAGCATAGGAGAATCGGCTTAAATGGGAACCATGCATTTCTGTCATCACTATTCAGTGCAATGCACAGCAGTGAAAACTACACTTTTGCTGGAAGCAAGATGAAATCTGAAAAGTCATACTCGCTCCAGATAATGCCCCTGCCAAGAATGAAACCAGGTGAAAGTTGGCTAGCTAATTGTTATCAGAAGGATGATTTAAACCAAGATACATGGGCCAGTATTTCTTGCTGTTAATGAAAATAGATGATTGTGAATTCCTAACAAAAGAGGTTTAAGGAGTAACTCCAAAAGACAGGGCCAAAAAACCGTAAGAATAAAGTCATCTCTACAAAGTACAACTAAAAAAAATCTTTATCTTTAGTTGTTTGGAGGTCTGAGGGACCTGAGACCTTTTGATTTATTTCTGACAGTTTTATTGAGGGCATACAAGTGGTATGTCCAGTTTATTTTATTCTTACAGATGAATTAAATTCTTTAGTTGGCTGGGACCACCATCATGGGGCACTTCGAAGTTATGGGAATGACATGAAAAAATTATCTTTCTCTGCACAAAACCTGCTTATTTTACAAACAGATTATAAGACAGATGGGAAGGAGGACAGGAAAAAAGTAGTTACCTATTTGGTTTGTTTGGTAGATAAAGTTGAACGTGGGAGTGTGGAAACAATTCGAATGTTACTGCTGTTTGTCATTTGTCCTACTAACACTTCGTCTTATCTGAATAATAATAATAGATGCTATGTATTGTGTGCTTACTTGTGGTTAAGCATTTTCCAATAATGTTATCATAATGTGCCTGTGCAATAGAGGTGTGATTCCCATTTTTCAGATTAAGCTCAGATCACCTGGATGGGGCATTTCAGAAATTTAAACCTACGTTTCTTTGTCTGCAGAGACTCTTGAAATGAAGATAAAAGTTCCTTCCTCTAAGGCTGTTGTGAGGTCTTAATGAGACAGAATGCATGCAGCATAGCGAGCTTAAGATAGTCTTGGCCTCTAGCAAGAGCTCAGGAAGGGATCCCTCATCATTATTATTATAATCACTGTTATCATTGCTATGATGCCTTCTAGTTCTACCCCGATTCGCTATTACTGTTACTCTTCAATTACTGCTGCTAGTACTAATTGGTAAGAATAATAATTATTATTATGGCTACGCAGAGCCAGACTCGGGACCATACCTGTCTCAGTCTCAGATAGGAGGATCTGTTGAGCGGAGGTAATTTAGGAAGAAAACAGGGGAAGTCTTGACAGCTGATTTAAGTTACAGTCATTTGTCATTTCCTGCTTCTCTTTGCACTCACTGTGACTACAGAAGCCACATGAGAGTCCACTTGAAGGAGGCTTCCTGTCACTCCTTGTAAACTCACACCAGATGTGTGCCTTCTACGTTGGCTGACTTGGGCCAGGGTTCACCCTTGGGCAGGAAATAGGCCGACTTGGGCCAGGGTTCACCCTCGGGCAGGAAATAGGCCGGCTGTGTCCACTTTACACCATGCCCCAAAGCCTGCAAACAGCTGCGCCGCAAGGACTGTGACCCTTGGCGCCGCCCGGACCTGTGTTTGCGTGAAATGGCTCTTCACCCTCATTTGCCATCCTGAGAGAAATCTGACATATAGGTGTCATATTTTATTCATAATATACTAGTTATTGTTCCCATACAAATGAATACTGCATAATCCACCTGTTCCCAGAGCAGCAGTTCCAATAGCAAAGAAGTTAGACTCAAAGAAGTACCTCATATTGCCATATTCCTCAGGCTGCCTCATTGATGTGAATAATTGTGTTTCATTTGTCTGTTACTATGTAACAAATGACTCTACACCCTAGTGGCTTGAAAGAATTGACTGTTTCTAATGATTTTGTGGATTGAGTGGCTGGTTCCTTTGCTGTTCTCATATGGGTCACTAAGTGATTGCATCCAGCAGGCCCAAGACTGAGGCTGGGTTCAGCAGGATGCCCAGCACGGCTGGGCCTCTCTTTTGACATGTTATTTTCATTCCAACCTTCTTCGCAGTATGGCAGTCTCAGGGTCGCCTTCCAAGAGAGAAAAACAGAAGCCACAAGCCTCTTGCGTCTAGGACAGCATCATTTCCATGGCATTCTGTTAGCCACGGCAAATCACAAGGCCAGCCCTGATTCAAGGGGAAGGCAAACAGCCTCCTCTGGGTGGGAGGGGGGGCAAGGTCACACTGCAAATGAGCATGAGAGGAACTGCTGTGCTGTTTTGCTGTGCTCTTTGAAACCAGTCCTAACACAAATTTTGAAAATGCACTAGATTAAAAAGCTGCACCATCATTGATCATACAGATACTACACTTTTCCACAAAGGTGAGGTCTACATTGTGAAATATAGTGCATACAGATACTTCATGGGGTTAATTTGGAAGCATTCTTGGCTTAAGATATTGAACATTTAGCTTCTCAAAGATAAAGAGATTTGGCTTGCTGGGGCAGCTTGTAAATGTCCATGTGCTGTGAGTGTCCACATGGAAAGAATCACTCATTTATTCACATCTGCATACATTTATCTGTGCATGTATTTGGACATACATTCCTATGCAAAGCTCTAAACTAGTTACTGAAATAGAGCAGATACTCAGATTAATTAAACCGATGGACCATTTTATATCCTGTGATTGTGCATATATATGCGTGTGAGTGTGTGTGTGTGTGTGTGTGTGTGTAATTCAGCTACTTGTTTTTTCAAGCATGAGCTTTCTTTTCTTTTCCATGTGAACTTCTATTAAGAAGTTGTATCTAATGGAATGCAAAAATAAATATAGCTCATGGCATACTTCACATGTAGATGCCAGAGACATCCTTTTTCTTGACCTTACACTTAAAACAATATCAATATGGATAAAAAGCCTGAGATTAAGACATTAAGCAGGCTACAGAGCCATGATAATTTTATGACTAGGGAATCCAATGACAGCCCACACAAATCTTGGCCTCATTGGGTTTTTTCTGGTGGCAGGTACAAACTTGAGCACCATTCATTCATTGTTCGTTCATTTATCCAGAAAATATTTATTGTGTTTTCACTGTGAGTTAGGCCTGCTCTAGGTGAGAGATACTGGAGTAAAAAAAATAGTTCTTATCCTCATATAACCTAAATTCTAGATAGAGAAGATTGAGAATGAAAAAAATACGCAGTCTCTCAGGTGGTCATAAATAGTATGAAAAAAAATAAAGCAAAGTTTAAGGAAATGAGTAAAAACTATCGAAAGAGATGGAGAGGAGATGGACAGTGAGGTAAGAGGAAAATCAAGATGAAATGGTGTCCCATTGTGTGGAGATTATTTCAGGAGGAATGATAATTGTTTCAAATGCTTCGGAGAGGCCAGGTAAGCTGAGGACTGAGGACTGGACATTGTGTTTGGCCATGTGGAGGTCATGGAGTGGTGATGAGAAAAGCCAAATTAGTTAAAATTCGAGACAGAATGAGAGAAAAGGAAAGGGAAACAGAAAATACAGAAAACTGCTTTGTAGATGTTTTGCTGAAAAGGGGTGTTGAGGAATGGGATAGTTATTGGAGGGAGATGTGGGCCACAGGAGAGAATTTTATACGATAGGAAATATGATAGTTTGGTGCTGACAGGATGTTCCAATACAATGGGAAACTGAGGATGTAGAAGAGAAGGGAACTTGCTGAACTGCTGTCCTTGAGTAGTTGAGATGGATGGATTCTTCTAGACCAGATTTAAGAGTTCATGTTATTCAACATGTTGAGCGTATACCCAGAATATATATGCATCTATTCTTAAATTTCATCTGTATTCTACAACAGTAGCATGTGTCATATATTTCAAAGCATATATAAAAATGTAACCAGATACTTTGTAGAAAAAAAATGTAAAAATAGAAGCCCCAGTATTTTATCCCAATATTCCATAGTCTTCTACACATACTCCTTAAAGTACACAGATTTAACTTTGGAGTTCTTACCTGTAGACACTGTCCCTGTTTGGCACTGATTTACTTAAAAGCAGTTGAAAGAAAAGAACTTGATTTTTTGTACTTGAGAATCTGAGTTTTCCTCTGTTCTGATTTCTATCTAGGAAGCGTTTTGACTTAACCAACCCTTTACAAAGAGTAATAATTTTAAAATGGAACCAACTTGAGATGATTTAGTTAAAAGATCTAATTCATAAGCAAGTTCTTCAAATGTTCCTAGAGGTGACTTTGGTCACACATAGCATCACAAAAATGCAAAAAGTACTCAGAAAGGAGAACAACCACATTTCAATTTTTATTTGTTGCCATTGGGTCACTTTTTTGAACCACAGGTCACTCCCATGGCTTTCTCTGCATCCATGAGTGAAGGACAAAAGTATACGACCCATCACTGGTACACAACAATAACCTTGGACCACATGATAGGAGAAGTGAGAAATATAGCCAATTTCTTTCCTATGGTTTCTGTGTAAACGTATGGCAGTTTACATAGAAACTACAGAAAGTGCAGAAACCTAAAGTGCAGACTAAACGTTGTCCCAGGTTGAAAAGAGGAAAGAGTTTAAGTGATATGCACTGGAGCTCTGCTCAAAAGACTTTACTCTCTGGAAGACGTTTTGCTAATTATAAGGCTGAAATCACTGGCACAGACTTATTTTGTGATTGGCTGATATAACAATAAAACAATGGTGTCCATGGAACCACGTGAAAGCCTTTAAGGTAGTCAAAGGAATCATTCCTGTAGTTGCAGTGTAATCCCAGTCGCAGATTCACATCGTCAGGCATGTCAGAGACCCCTGAAGAACAGTCGTCACATTCACAGTGTGTGGATCCCGATCCCGAAGGGACACGATGCTCCTAAATCAGTCTCTCCATCGCAGGGGGCGGCATCAAGTTCCACATTTCTACTCGAGAGCCCTCCTTCTCCTGACGGCTGGGGCTGTAGGCTCCCTGAGTTGCCCTTTTGTTGGAGGTGACAACAGAAGCAACGACAACCAGCAAGAGGATCAGTAACAAGGCGAGGGTCACTGAGCCAAGGGCGCTGAAAACATCCGAGACCAAGCCATCTGCCAACTGGAAAGATCGAAATCGTTGGCATGCGAATGCTACAGCAAAGGCAAATAAATATTCAGGACAATGAAACTATCCAGGAAGGAAGGCCGACCAGAGAAAGCTGGTACCACTCAGTACTGTAGAAAGACCAAGTATTACACGAAAGTCAGATGTTCTTATTCTCAAGTCATTTGTAAATAATAATATATCTAGCATCTAAAGTCTACAGTCAGAAAATACGGCATGAAATATCTACCAAATTTACCCAATCTCTTAATCTCAGTGACTGAGATCATTCATGTAGCAACAAAGGCAAAAGATGAGTCCACACTTATATTTGTAAAATGATTCTACATCTACGGCTATGTATTATCCATGATCTCTTTCCTCCCTTGCCCAAAGTTCTGATTTGGGACTGCAGAAATGGTTGTTTTACAGTTTCATTTAGTTTTGTTGTATTGGGAAAGGATGAAATTAAATTAGTTGGGTCTTGTGGGAAAAAATCTTGAGACAGAGGAGGAACTGTGACATGCTGGTCTCATAGGGGGTTTCCACAGGAATCACTTTCATTCGGCACATGATCTTAATGCTGAATCTAAGCATCTAGCAAAAGAAAGCAGCACGTAGAGCCCTGTCAAGGGGAGCTGGACCCTGGGCTCTCAAGAGTTGTTATTTTTACACAATGGTTTGATTAATGTTAATTCCAATATGTTTGTAAAACACTTTTTAGCAAACCCGAACTCCATCAGTTTAACAATGGGGAACATGAAACTGTGATTGAGCTGTATAGAACTATTAAACACAGAAAACAGTTACTGTTTGAATTTTGAAACTGATTTTTTTCAAAGCCATATTTCTGTCAGAGTAAATCCAGAGTAAACTCTTTTACCCTCTCATTTAGCTTTCTCTAGGACTCATCCGCACATTACCAAACCAATCTATTACAAATGAAATCTTTGTTTAATATCCTAGAGAACTTAAATATCTTTTCTGTCATTAGTCTCTTTTTTTTGTTCCCTGTGTCTAGGTTTAAATTATTATACAATTAATATAATATTCTAATATTTTCAGAGTATTGTCTTGGATCTACTCATGATAAGCCTTGCTCAAATGTGGTTTATTAGTTTGTGCATTCATTCAACAATACTTATTGACCATTTACTATGAGCATTTACTGAGCCAGGAAATAAAAATACAAAGACAAATAAAAGTTTGGAATCTGGAGCTCAAATTCTGGAGATAGAAGAGGAAGACATACACAAACACATATACAAATAATCATAATACATTATAGAGAGGTGTTATGACAGTGTGACGAATTATTTGTGTTGGGGCATAGGTGGAGTAAAATTGGAAAGAGACATGATTATCCTTTGAAGGATTAGTGGATGCTCAAGTACTCCAAGGAGGAAATTTCACTTGAATGAAACAATCTCAGGTGGCTCATGCCTGTAATCCCAGCACTTTGGGAGGCTGAAGCAGGTGGATCACCTGAGGTCAGGAGTTTGAGACCAGACTGGCCAACATGGTGAAATACTGTCTCTACTAAAAATACAAAAATTAGCTGGGTGTGGTGGTGGTTGCCTGTTATCCCAGCTACTTGGGAGGCTGAGGCAGGAGAATCTCTTCAGCCTGAGAGGTGGAGGTTGAGGTAAGCTGAGATTGCGCAACTGCACTCTAGCCTGGACAATGGAGCAAAACTCTGTCTCAAAAAAACAAAACCAAAACATAAAAGGCAAGAAGATATGAAAGTCCATAGAATTTACAGAAACAGTAAGAAACTCAGTGTGGCCAAAGACATTGACCATGAATGTGTATGTTCGAATTGGGAAAAGATGAGAAGAGTTGGTGAGAGAAAATACTATAAAGCAGAAGGATCTTGTCAAGAAATGTGAATGCCACACTAAACTCACTTTTTCCTGAAGCCAGTGAGGAAACGCCGAAGGTAGTTAATCAAGAGTATGATATGATAAGATCTGGTAACAGGAGATAGTGTAGGTGGGGAAGAAACTGGAGGCAGAGAAGTTAGTTTATCTTATTAGTCATGATAAGAGATTACCTAGGTCTAAATTTAGCAAAGGAGTGAGAATTGAAGGGAAAGATTGGTTGAGAGAGATTTCTGAGGTAAATTCGGCATCACCCCATGTCAGATTGTGGGGGGTACTGGGGAAGGGAGGAAGGATGAAGATGGCTGTTGATACTACATTAGATGAGCAGGTGGATCGGGATGTCATTCATTGAAATTGGGTTCACATGAGGAAAAACTGGTTTCACATGAGGTTTGTGTAGGAAGACTATGAGTTCAGGTTGGGAAAAGTCGGTCTTAGGTAGCTTGGAGACATTCAAGACTTTAGTGCTATTAGATAATTAGAAATAATTTTACTACCCCATCTCCACTTCACATTTCTGTGAAAAATTCTGGGTTATAACAACTTTTCATCCTCCAGCAATGGGAGCCTTTGAAGTAAAGTATATAGAACTTCATAGAGTTCAGCAGTTTTTTAGAAAAATAGTTTATGTTAACTAGAGGGCAAGCTCTCCATCCATACTGTAAGATCATGCTTTTGTAAATGATTATATCTTTTATAAATAAAGATAACTCTGGCCTAGGAAAGAGGAACAGAACTGTAGAGTTGGGCTTGAAAGGTCAAAAGGCTGAGACACAGAAGGTCAGATAAAATCTAACCACCAAAACACCTTGGTAGTATCTGATGATCTTTAGAAAATGCACACTCTAGTTCTTAGATATTGATTTTATCTTAATCTGTCCAGTAAATTATGTCATCTTTTGGAGTAAATGGCTGTTCCTGGATGAAAGAGTTGGGAGTGTCCACACCCATGCATACGAGAGAAAAATCATTTGGTTTGTCTCTGTTTTCTAAACTTTTCTGGACCCTTCTCTTCTCATTCAGCCTGAGATTGATTACACTGGGTAAACTGAGGCCCCCTAGATCCTCTCATCTGCTTTGTTGTGACAGGAGAGGAAGAGGGACTCATGGAGGTAGGGACCTGAGTCCTTGTTAGTACCCCAATTCACAAGGCTGACCTGTTTCACATATTTTGTGATTTCTGAGGAACCAAATTCGTCATCTACAGTTGCTTTGCTGTCCTTAAAATGTGATAAAAATAGAAGAGCAAATGCAAGGCCTGGGATCCAGCGCCACCTCTGCCAGTCCTGGCTGTGTAATGAAGTGGTTAAGAGGTCAGTCTCTGGAGGCAGAGACCTGGGTTTGATTCGTGGCTCTGCCAATTTCTTCTGCCAACACAAGCAAGTTATTTCAAACCTCCTAGAGACTCATTTTCACCACCTATAAAAGGGAATATTAATATCTACTTCAAAGGATGGGACCAAATAAAACACAAAGAAAAATACAAAGAGCATAGCCTATAGGAAGTTCTCCAATACATGAACATATTAGTAGTCGTCAGTATCCCATTTATCATTATCCGTAATTCTATTTGCTTTTAAAAGATAAACTAGAATTCCCTCAGGACCTTGCAGTATGACAAGGGAGCCAACCTAAAAACCTAATATTGCAATTCCCAGCCTCATATGAAGTTTTTGATGAAACAGCTCCCCTAACTGTATCAAATAGGGCATGTCATTAAGCTTTAGAGTGATCTGAATGAGTCGGGTTTTGAAATCGCCTCTTGAGGGCCCTTTGCTTTTAAATTCCCATGGTTGAAAGGCTTTTTTTCCTCTACTATTCTTCAACTGTGCTTAAAATATACAGCACTAGGATGGATCTTTTGATAATTGCAACTGCGAGGACACATGAACTGATGATGGAGGCCTCCGGGTGTGGGACGAGGTTTAAGGCCAGCCCTATTTGGATTGGTTATGCTCTAACGCTGCACTTTTGAATAACCTTTTCCTGAAAAGACAGACCCCAAATTAATCATAAATATCATGTAAAATTGTTTTTTCTAAAAAACGACATGCTATCTCTAGTCAGTTATCATATTAACATCTTTTAAAAATGTATATTGTACGTATGATTAATTTAAACTGGAATTACTTTGAACTCTATATCTGCAGAATAAAATAGATGTTGTACTTTTTCCCCTCAAAGAGGATTTATTCTGAAACATTAACTGGGTTCTGGCCTATATAGGACCCAAGCAAGGTTCTGCCATGGTATTCTATGAAACTCTCAAAACCTATTTTGAATCTTCTTTCCTGATTGTCGTATGCCGGAATGTGCTAGCACCATACATTAACGTGTGTTTTTTTCCTTTTAATCCCAGAGGAGAAATTTCATCTGGTTTCTTCTGAAGGGGACTTGGAGACAGCATGCACTTGCTAAGCAGATAGAAAGGGGTTTGAATCCAGTTTCGCTGCCTGTTTAGTATGCTTAGCCTACATACACTGTTTTCCCACTTCTTTCAGAAAGAGCAAGTTTAAGTCCTGGGATCCAGCCCTACTTTGGCCACTCCTGGCTGTGTCATGAAGCGGTTAAGAGCTCTGGTCACAGACTGTTTTTCCATCGTATACGTAGGCTAAGTATACAAAATGAGGACAATAATTCCCATGTCTTAGAATTGTTCTGAGAGTTACAGTGTTCAGAGGATATAGAGTTTCTCATGGGACACACGCACAGGACGACAACTTTGATCCGTGTGGTTGCTCTTGTTTATGACCCTGAGTGACCTTCCCCTGACTGATTTTCATGATCCTGTTGGATTTCAGAACTCCTACCATCCACTCAGGGCTGAACTTGTGAACAAGGAGGGGCTTCAGGTTATCACGCTCACTGTGCTCATGTGGCACTGGTAGAAGGCTGTGCAGCCTGGGTCTATCAGAACTAGCTGTTACTAATTGCTTGACAGTTCATCTAATTTGGAAAACACAAAATGAGCTGGAAATAAAAGAAACGAGATGAATTCTGTTATCAGCATCAGGATCTATCTTTCACGATATTTAGGGCTGATGACAGCATTCGAAATAATGTGAAAACAGTAAACATATCAGAAGGAGCCCTGAAAAACTATGAAATGTTGCAGGATTTTTTGGAAAACGT